GGTATCTGACGACTTCTGAGTATCTGTCAGACTGGGTTCATTACATACCAATCTGAGCTTTCCCTGTGTATTTTGCTGTTTCTCGCTGTGTTTTTCTGAGACAACCTGCAACAAGACGGAATGCTACCCAGAAAGTAACTTGCAAACGAAAGGAAAGACCCATCGATTAATTGCAAATTTGCAATGACAAGCATCTAAAGTGCAAATTTGCAATGACAAGCATGGGATTAATGATTAAACCACCTGTTCATCTAAAGCTGAATTGATGAACCGAAAAATCCATGTTGCCGGGCCTACAGTGCAAGCCTTTGGAAAAATGAGGATTGTAGCCCTTTCCCACTAAACCTCTACCAGGTCTCGCCAATGTATCAAGGCACGGTACTTGTAAACGAGTAAAATCTACAGTGCAAGGGCCGTTGGACTGGTGGTTTAATCTGAGTTTTTCCCTTCCCTGTGTTTTGCTGTATCTCTCACTGACTGTTTTTTTTTCTTGCTTTTCTTATGTTATACATCTTTGTTACGATCCTGGCCAATTTCGAAGTATACAATCAGCAGAAAGTACAGTGCCGTCCAATTGCACAAAAAAATGAATGAACTTGAGAGGAGAGAGAGGGAAAGAAGAAGAAGAAGAAGAAAGAAAGAAAGAAGAAGAAGATGATGTACTCCAGCATAGACCAAAGATAACGCTCTTCTTCTTCGCCAACCAATCTCCTCCTCATTATATCCGCCACTCTTATTCAAACAAGAAATAACAATAATAATGTTGAATGGCTGAACCAGAATCAATGTCCGAATCCCTCTTCTACTGCAGGCACAACATGAGGTCCACCATAGCCATGGCCACCCTTCTCCTTCCTCTCAGATGTAGGCCGAGGCTATGGCGAACTACTGAGGGCTCAACCCTCCTGTCCGAAGGACAACCCAAAGCAGCTATGTCGCTGCCTTCCTGTGCAAAGGACAACGCAAAGCAGCTATGCCGCTGCTCATTAGGCCGCCATGCCTATCTCTGCCCCGAGCTTCCTTGGTGCGGCACTACCCCAACTGGGCCCTTCCAGATGCAGCGCCTATCAAGGTGATGACGATGGTGTCCACCATAGCCAGGTAGGTACCTCGCCACTCTCCTCCTTGGTCCTCTTCTCCTCTCCTCCTCCTACCGGTAGAGCTCCACCATAGCCAAGGTGGAAGCTCCCGGCTTCTTCCTCCCAGCAGAGCTGTAGTAGCCAGCGCTCCAACAGCGTGTCGCCAAACTTGCACTCTGAAGAATGAGGCCGGGCTCTTCCCTCGGCCTCCTGATATAGCGGCCTACTTGCCTCCTGGGCGGTGACTTCCAGGCCGCACGACCTCCCAAGCAACCGGTACCTCCTCCCTTTCAGAGGGAAACATCATTGCAGACTCTGATATTGCCCTTACAGGCCCTAGACTCAGACTGGATGGACTGGTACCGGCCTAGACCTAGCCTACCGCTACTGGGCCTCTAAAAATGCCAACTTTGTCTTCTTCTGCTTGGCCTCGAGTACCCGGCACATCTACTGCTACTGGGTGCGGTACCGGCCTATCTGCTACTTGAGTGTTTTTCCGCTGCTCCAAGCACCGCGGGCCCCTGGCTCCTCTACTTGAGTGTTTTCCCTGCTGCAACCCTCAATATCACGGCCACAGGTAAGTACCGGCCCTACGGGCCTCCCAAACAAGCAAGTACCCTTGCGGGTCACACACACACTCATGCCGACAAGCACTCATACAGGCACGCAGGTCAACAGACACGCACACATACAGACTTAGAAACTCAGCAGAATGCGGGAATCTCAGCAAGGCATCCATTCCATCGGCAGAACTTCAGAAATCAGCAGTGTTCTCAGTCTGTGTTATGGCGGGTCATTACATCTTCTGATTTTTGTCCTTCTTTGCAATTTTTCACGACAGTAACCTTGAGTTATCTGTGAGTTATTTATGGAATTCTCTGAGGGTTGTGTGAGGAATTACTTGCACTCAAGTGGGGCGGGGCTTCTCAGCAGTGTATGCTAGGCAAGGCGGTTGTCATTTGGCAAATCGGAACATCAATGTCAACTAGGAGGGCAGGAAGGTACAATTTAGGAGGGAGAGGCCAGAAATTGGCTGACAGGTGGAAGGTAAAGTCTTGGGTCCCAGAGGGATTTATCTGCAATTAAAGTTCCACATCCCGCATGTAGGCTAGGGGCATAGCGGACATGGATACCAGGGTGTATTCGGCCCACAAAAAAGTTGTGCACCTTCTATCAATGGCAAGAAGGCGTGGAGGGTATGACTTTCCCATTCGAAGTAAGGCAGGGCCTAGAGACCTGGCAGGCCCAACTGGGCTCTGTGGCTCTGGGCCTCTAGCCCCAATTGGACCTCTGGGCTTCTGGGGCTCTATGCCAAATTTGACCTCTGGGCCTCCGGGCCTCTAGGCCTAATTTCGCCTCTGGGCCTCTTGGCCAATTCGACCTCTGGCCCTCTGGGCCTCTGGACCGAGGGAAATAGGAAGATAGCCTTAGATAGGGCAATAATCCACTCTCTGACTGGATTGCATTATTGGAGTCATTATTCTGGTCTACAATGCCCACAAAGAGGGTGTCCAGAAAGAGCTTTGGTCTAGAGCTCCCATGCTAGGAGGGTTTCAGGCTTCCTGACTATGGTGGTGTTCATGGCTATGGGTCTTTGGTTTCTCCATGCTGAGCTGCCATCGGTTCTTGTTCTCTAGGGCAATGATGGAGGCCCACTACCACATTAATACATTATGCTATGCTGCTACCAGTGGGATGAGAGAAAGGCAGGAGCTTGTAGTTTCCTGGTTGCTGCATGGTTCATGCTTGTAGTTGTTGATGACCAGATCATGACATGGGATCATGTGGATACGATAATACTAGGGGCTACCCCCCTTAAACCGCCAGTACACAGTCCCAGCCTTGCAGAAAATCACAAGTTGCCAACTCAGGAATTTTCGCTGCTCGGGCCTACCGAACCACAATGGCTGGCGGCACCAGCCAAAAAAGAACAGAAGTGCGCCACTGGCGGTTCAGAAAAGCTTGGCGCGCAGCGCAGTGCCTCCAGGGTCGGGTGTACTGATGGTTTAAGGGAAAGGAGAACAGAAAGAAAGGCAGGAGATTGACCGCTCAAATCACCTGGAGATATCTAGGACAGCTATCCTCTCAGTACCTGTTTGGCACGTGGCATCGAACAAGCCTCTGGGACCCTGGGCTATACTGGGACATGGTTCTGTGAGTTTCTTAATTTCAAGTTCCATTTGCATAGTGAGGTTTATTAAACTTTATTTACGGTCAGTGAGTGATGAGAGATTCGTAGTTCTGATTGGTGAGACTAGACGGAAACTCTGCATGAGTGGGTGCTGTCGTTTGGGACTAGCTCTAATTGAGTATTGAGTGGTCCCATGTGGGACTAGGCTCTAACTGAGTAATGGGTAGTGCCCTATGGGACTACGTCTTCACCCAAATAGAACACCCCGTCATTACAGCCGTACTTGGGGCAACGTTCACCCTAGATACTGCAATAATGACCGGGCATTCTATTCGGGGTGAAGACGGCTCTAATTGAGTAGTGGGCGATGCCATTTGGAACAGATGGTGGGGGAATGTTATGGGTGATGTTTCTCAGCAGTGGATGCTACAAATAGGCTGTTGTCCTGGGGTGAATTAGGAACTTCAATGTCAGAGCAGTGGATGCTACAAGTAGGCTGTTGTCCTGGGGCGAATTGGGGAACTTCAGTTTCAATGTAAGTCCCAATCATCGAAGGGCTAAAGAGATGTCTTGAAAAAGATGAATGGTGGGAAGATGGAATTTGATCACTGTGACTAGTTCTTATGCTAGTTCTTATGAGCCGAACGAGACCTCTTGAAGAGGATGAGCGGTGGGAAGATGGAATCTGGTCACTGTGATTCGTTCTTTATGAGCCTCTGGGTCTTCTTCTTTGCATTGCTCCATCTCTTCTCCTGTACCTTGTGCCTAGGGTGAGTGGTACCTTGGTCGCACTTCACGTATGGGCATGTTGGTAGCACTTTAATCAACCGCTATGGACGAAAACTCAAGTTTCATAGGGGAATGCAGTTCTCTGCTGACCGTGGGGCTTGGCTGCAGTGTTTAAGGCACAAGGCTGTTGAGCTTGAGATTGCCGGTTCGATCCATGCTGGATCGGATCCAGGAAAATACAGTTTACCGTATTCACCTCGGTGGCTATCCAGGAGATTGTACCCAGACCCAGTGGCTGCGTAGGGATTAAATGTGCTCAGTTGCGGGATGGTCTTGAGGGCTGGTGGTCCGTGTTAGTGTGTGAGAGTGAGTTGTTGCTCTGCGGCCATGCAGAGCTAGGGTGGATATCAGGGTCGGCAAGGAACCACCTTTGAACGCTGTGTCATGGCTGCAGTGGTTAGGGCACCAGGTTCTTGAGCTTGGGATTGCCAGTTTGATTGCGTGCAGGGTCGGATCCAGGAAAGAAGTGTACTGTATGAACCGCAGTAGCTAGCCATTGTACCTGGACCCGGTGGCTGCATAGGGCTTAAATGTGCTCACCTGCAGGATGGTCTCAAGGGTTGATGGTTGGTGTTCGTGTGTGAGAGTGAGTTGTTGCGCTGCAGCCATGCACGGGTGGGGGATATCAGGATGCAACGCTGTGCCATGGCTGCGGGGGTTAAGGCACCAGGCTGTTAAGCTTGACATCGCTTGTTCAATTCTGTGCAGCATCGGAACCATGTAAATACAGTGTACTACTTCACCACAATTGATAGCTACCTCATCCACTTTTCCAAAGGCGTACCATAGCTTCTCTGCACCTTTTCACTCAAGCTTACCCCTAATACAATGTAGAATCCCAAGCATGCACCTCTCTCTCTCTCTCTCTCTCTCTCTCTCTCTCTCTCTCTCTCTCTCTCTCTCTCTCTCTCTCTCTCTCTCTCTCTCTCTCTCTCTCGCTTGCCCGCTAGTCACACATGTTACCTGATTATGCATCTGTCATCTGTACATGTGCTTTTCAGGGTCAGCTTGTGGAAGAAGAAAGGTTGGAGTCCATAAGAGTTCGCGAGAAAGGGAAAGAGAGGCTGGCACGGGGTGATTCGCACCTCTGGAGTACTAGTCTTAAAGTCAAGGGTTTGAACCCTGATGGGGGGGATTATCCTGCATTTCCGACACATCATGATGAGATGAAGAACTACGGGCTGACAATGCGAAAGCGGATTACACCACATTCAGTGAGATTGAGGACGAAGCCCGGTGAGCCTCCACTCCATCTGCATAGACCAGTAACTGAAGAGGAGTTGAGAGCAGTTTGGGAGGAACACAAGAGGAGAGTAGAACAGAGACAGGCAGTCAGACCGCCCAGGGAATTCAATGTGCTCTCTAACAAGTACTGGCTGAATGATGAAGAGCGCTTGAACCAAGATATGGATAGACAAAGGTGCTGATTTTTGCTTCTCATCTTATTATTTATTTATTATGAGGCTCATGGTTCTGGCTCCATATCCATTCCGGGGAGCATCAGTCCGGTTCCTATTCCACCAGCAAGTCAGAACAAAATACACAGGAATTCACTCACACTCCTTCCCATTATGTCATGAACCTGGTTGCTTGTTGTCTGAAGACCAACACTTGCTCACATAGACTTCCATGCATGCCCATACATACACAGAAGGAAGGGGAGATGATAGGAGCATCACACCGCACAGAGAGAAAGAAACACAGCGGAAGATTTGACCATGCGATATGACAGAACACACTGAAAGTGCAATTCGCTCCACAGAATTCCCACAACCAGTCACAAAGGAAAGTCGAGTAGATCACATCCACAAAACAATGAAGCAAAGATAGTTCTCACACAGTATCCACACTGTTTATTAAACTCAAAGAATCGTTTTGCCAGAATAGTCTTAGAAACATGGTGCGCAGCTCAGGAATGAGCAGCGCTTCTCCCCCAACCCAGAGTAACCGCTATCTACTACCCCAGAGCCCCTGAAACAACCAGCGCCACCCAGAGACTGCCTCCAGAGGGAAGCACTACCCTGAAACAGGCCCCTGAGGCCAAGCGCCTCTCAGAAGATGAAGAAGAAGACCAGCACCACAGTGTCTGATGAAGATGGAGTGCCAGATGACTTCCCTATCCCTAATACTCTAAAGCAAACAGCGGGTCTCGCGTGACGGTCCCACGTGAGACCCGGTTCGCTGGCGGGGCAGTCCCGGCGGTCCCGCGCGGATGGTAGCAGGCCGATTTGTCGTTTCGTTGTTGTCGGCCCTATCGGAGGGGTGGGGGGTTTGTCGGTTTGGGCCGGGGGGGTTGTTGTTTCGGCCTCACGTGTATCGGGACGGCGTATCGGGGTGGGGGAGGTGAGTATTCAGAGTTTCGTTTGTTTTTTTCGGACCTGCAAGCACCGGGACGCGACATTGGGGCGGGGGGGAAGGATAGGGATTGGCCCTCTGTCTTTGGTTTTGTTCTTTCGGCTCGCCAAGTATCGGGACGCAACATTGGGGCGGAGGGGAAGGATGCGAGGGGTTAGCCGTTTCAGCGCGCCGTGCCCTTTCGGTTGTGTGCGGGCATGGCGGTTTCGGAACGTCTGACAAGGGGGCGCGACGGTAAGCGAACTGTGTGTGAGAGAGAGAGTGTGTGTGTGTGTG